TAACTATTTTCACTGGACTTGCAGCAGCTTCTTTCCTCATGAAACGTCCTAAAAACGGAAGTCACATGGAACATCTAACAAAATACCATGGCTGGCAAATACCCGGGTCCGGAGTTAATTTTGCTGTACAAAGAGAGATGACTCTTCCAACAAATACCAAATCAATTAGATGTCACAAAGTCAATCATTTTAAATTTGATTTTGAAGCTTCTTAATATAATTCAAAATTCGAGGGTAAGGATCGAACGGGAAATTTGAAAGTTGGCACCGAATGTCCACACATCTCAGGAGAAGTATATTGCCATTCTTGAATTCATTGATTTCGGAATACGTGGAATCTCTATATAATTCAATCCCACATCGTTAACCGACAGTCTTCTAGTCCAAGGGACCCCTCACCAAATATTAAATGCGTTGTTTATCGGAGTGTTTAATTTTCGCGCATTTCCCTAATTTCACGACCGCCATTTTGTACAAGTATGCTCATTGTACATGTATGCTTATTGTACATGTATGTTCATTGTACATGTATGTTTATTGTACAAATATGCTTATTGTACATGTTTACTTATTGTACATATATGCGCATTATACAAGTATGCTCATTGTACATGTATGTTCATTGTACATGTATGCTTATTGTACATGTATGTTCATTATATATGTATGCTTATTGTACATGTATGTTCATTGTACAAATATGCTTATTGTACATGTTTACTTTTTGTACATATATGCGCATTATACAAGTATGCTCCATGTACATGTATGTTCATTGTACACGTATGTTCATTGTATATGTATGCTTATTGTACATGTATGTTCATTGTACATGTATGATCATTGATGTTCATTGTACATGTATGTTCATTGTACATGTATGTTCGTTGTACATGTATGTTCATTGTACATGTATGTCCATTGATGTTCATTGTACATGTATGTTCATTGTACATGTATGTTCATTGTACATGTATGTTCCTTGTACATGTATATTCATTGTACATGTATGTCCATTGATGTTCATTGTACATGTATGTTCATTGTACATGTATGTTCATTGTACATGCATGTTCATTGATGTTCATTGTACATGTATGTTCATTGATGTTCATTGTACATGTATGTTCATTGTACATTTATGTTCATCGATGTTCATTGTACATGTATGTTCATTGTACATGTATGTTCATTGTACATGTATGTTCATTGAACATGTATGTTCATTGTACATGTATGCTAATTGATGTTCATTGTACATGCATGTTCATTGAGGTTCCTTGTACATGTATGTTCCTTGTACATGTATGTTCATTGTACATATATGCTTTTTGTACATGTATGCTCATTGTACATGTATGGGTTTTGTACATGAATGTTCATTGTACATGTATGTTCATTGTACATGTATGTTCATTGTATATGTATGTTCATTGTACACGTATGCTCATTATACTTTTATCCTCATTGTAAATGTATGTTCATTGTATATGTATGGGTACTGTACATTAACGCTCATTGTTCATGTATGCTCATTGTACACGTATGCTCATTATACTTTTATCCTCATTGTAAATGTATGTTCATTGTACATGTATGGGTTTTGTACATGAATGTTCATTGTACATGTATGTTCATTGTACATGTATGCTTATTGTACATGTATGTTCATTGTACATGTATGTTCATTGATGTTCATTGCACATGTATGCTCATTGTAAATGTATGTTCATTGTATATGTATGGGTACTGTACATGTATGCTTATTGTACATGTATGTTCATTGTACATGTATGTTCATTGTACATGTATGCTTATTGTACATGTATGTTCATTGTACATGTATGTTTATTGCACATGTATGTTCATTGTACATGTATGCTCATCTGCTTGGAAATCTTACTCAACACAAATATTCACTACCAGTTATTCCTTCTCGCGATTATATTTTCGGGATGTTAACTTTTCCTTTGTCGTGTCTCTCGTGTTGGGTTATATTGGGTAAATCGATATTTAAGGTTGAGCTATATTTGATTAATCGGTATTAGGGTTTGGATACATCGAGTAAATCGATATTTTGTTTAGGTTAGTAGAACTCACAGACTCAATAATCAGCTGAACATGTAATACACAAAGAACTCACAGACTCAAAAATAAGCTGAACGTGTAATACACAAACAATAAAAGTGACTCAATAATAAGCTGAACGTGTAATAAACAGAGTACTCACAGACTCAATACTAAGTTAAACGTGTAATACACAAAGAACTCACAGACTCAATAATAAGCTGAATGTGTAATACACAGAGAACTCACAGACTCAATAATAAGCTGAACGTACAATACACAAATAATTCATAGACTCAATAATAAATTGAACGTGTAGTACACAAATAATTCACAGACTCAATAATAAACTGAACGTGTAATGCACAAAGAACTCATAGACTCAATAATAAGCTGAACTTGTAATACACAAAGAACTCACAGACTCAATAATAAGCTGAACTTGTAATACACAAAGAACTAACAGTCTCAATAGTAAGCTGAAAGTGTAATACACAAACAATAACAGTGACTCAATAATAAGCTGAATGTGTAATCCACAAAGAACTCACAGACTCAATAATAAGCTAAACGTGTAATACATAAAGAACTCACAGACTCTATAATAAATTGAATGTGTAATACACAAAGAACTCACAGACTCAATAATAAGCTGAACGTACAATACACAAATAATTCATAGACTCAATAATAAGCCGAACGTGTAAAACACAAAAAACTCACAGACTCAATAATAAGCTGAACGTGTAGTACACAAATAATTCACAGACTCAATAATAAACTGAACGTGTAATGCACAAAGAACTCACAGACTCAATAATAAGCTGAACTTGTAATACACAAAGAACTAACAGTCTCAATAATAAGCTGAAAGTGTAATACACAAACAATAACAGTGACTCAATAAAAAGCTGAATGTGTAATACACAAAGAACTCACAGACTCAATAATAAGCGGAACTTATAATACACAAAGAACTCACAGACTCAATAATAAGCTGAACTTGTAAAACACAAAGAACTAACAGTCTCAATAATAAGCTGAACTTGTAATACACAAAGAACTAACAGTCTCAATAATAAGCTGAAAGTGTAATACACAAACAATAACAGTGACTCAATAAAAAGCTGAATGTGTAATACACAAAGAACTCACAGACTCAATAATAAGCTGAATGTTTAATACACAAAGAACTCACAAACTCAATAATAAGCTGAGCGTGTAATACACAAATAATTCATAGACTCAATAATCAGCTGAACGTGTAATTCACAAAAAAACTCACAGACTCAATAATAAGCTGAACGTGTAATACACAAATAATTCATAGACTCAATAATAAGTTGAACGTGTAATACACAAATAATTCATAGACTCAATAATAAGCTGAACGTGTAATACACAAAAACTCACAGACTCAATAATAAGCTGAACTTGTAATACACAAAGAACCCACAGACTCAATAATAAGCTGAACGTGTAATAAACAGAGAACTTACAGACTCAATAATAAGCTGAGTGTGTAATACAAAAAGAACTCACAGACTCTATAATAAATTGAACGTGTAATACACAAATAATTCATAGACTCAATAATAAGCTGAACGTGTAATACACAAATTATTCACAGACTCAATAATAAGCTGAACGAGTAATGCACAAAGAAATCGCCGACTCAATAATAAGCTGAAAGTGTAGAATACACAAAAAATAACACAGACTCAATAATCAGGTGAATGTGAAAAACACTTCTAACGAGGTCCCGATTGATAGCTGAATTATTTGACATCTTCGATTAGCCAGCACACCAATTAATTTAGTTGGAGGTACGCTACGAAATAAATTCCCTTTCTCAATCACTTCTCAAAACCCTCCTCGGTACTCTATGCCTTAATCAACCATCATCGTTAGCATCTTTCATTTACATTTATCATTATTAGACAAGATAGAGTTTTACGAGCCAAGCAAAATATTTCTTTTTACGATTTATACAACCGTGAAGGATCATGCTATCACAGCCGTCAAAATGATTCGAGGTAGAGTAATATCGTTAAAAAAGAATAGCACAACACATGCCTAAAAGTTGAAAGAAAGACATACATATAAATCAATATAGTGTAAAAGAATTTATTTTTAACGGACTCAAACTTCAACATATAATCAGTGTTTTATTGATTAGAGCGTTGATGAATTGGAAACTTTGTACAGACACTCCAATCGGCGCAATAATAATTAATCCTAATATTTGTTGTGCAGAGAGCACTTAGATTAGACTACTGCCAAAATACTTACGTGTGCTGTCGGAGGTTTACTCGAACGTAAGAATATACAAATGCCTGCAATTATTGTTTCAGAGAAGAAAAGTTGGCTTTATATTCAAACACTCGTAACGCACAAAGAACACATACTTATTACACAATTTCCGTGATGAGTCTTTATCTCCTTTTCCCTTTTAAACTGGAGAAAATATTCAGCAACACAGTATCCTGTTCATATTTCAAGAAAGAGTTAATGACAATTGACGCTGTTAACTGTAAAACAACAAATGAAAACGTTTTAATCATTTATTTTTTGAGTAAACATCCAATTCTATACAACTATGGTATTAGAGGAACATTTGATACTTTGTAGTTCCAGTTTTCATAAAAAATAAGATAAATAAAAACAAAGCAATAGCGTAAATGATTAAGTTATAATAATGTCACTCTTTTGAGTATAATTATGATATCGAGAAACGAGTATATTCTTCACTATCTTATTTACGTCATGTTATACTGAATGTCCCGATAATAAACCAAACAAATGTCAAATCTAAATCAAAAGAATCAGAGAATTTGCAATGTTTCAGTGTTTGTATTAATTTGGTGACTTTTATTGTTCATATACACATCACGTGATCAACCATCTGCGTGCTTGTCTGTGCTACATGTTTAGTAGAGTTGGAAGACTTGGATACAACTATCCTGGTCTGTAGAACCCCAAGAAGTGACCACAAACATGGTACCACGAACAGCTATTGCCTGAGGAGATTTCATTCCCTCTGATGACGTCATCAGTTCCCTGACGTGTGTCCCGTCCCCAGACATCTGTACGACGTTGTGTGAACTATTACCACACACGTAAATGTTACCCTCTCTGTCGATGTCTATTCCTTCAACATCCCTCACGACACCGACCTTCATCACATCCGTGTGAAGTTTGTCAGCTGACAGTCTGGACACTACGACGTCCTCTGTGTTGTTGTTATTGACGCTGACGATTGTGTCTCCCTTTACTGGATCTTGTGTGAGGGTATAACAGCTGTTGTTATACTTATGTAACAACTCAGCTGTTCCGTCCTGTGTCACACTGTATACCTCTCCTCCACGTGTACCCACGATAAACTTCCCGTCTCTATGTGTTATACCAATACAGTCTTTACCATTAGATATGTTGATCTCGGAAGACAGGAAGAATTTGGAGTCCTCGACTTGCACGACACAGACACCACCAGGACTGTTGACAGCGACTGCCACGGTGTTGTTTTTCACCAGACACAGGTCGCTGGGATTTCCACGAATGACCAACTCGTCAAGGTACTGTCCTTTGTCCGTAAACACCCTCAGCTTCTTGTTGTTGTAATCACTAAGTACTATTTGTTCATTAGGAAGATACACCACTCCACGTAACCAACATCTCTCTTTATCTGACGAAGTCTTTACGTTAAACTTCCCTATTTCTTTCACACGACGATCTGACAAAGGTACGGACAGGTAATCAAAATCATCAGGAAGAAATCGCTGTTGTCTCTCGATGATGATCTTTCCCATCGCATCATCACCAATGGTTACCATTCTGTGAACAATCTGATGCTTAATGCTGACGAACCTGAAGGACTTGCTCATTTCCGTGACCAAGGCCTTACACGACTCCACTTCTGCCTGTCCTCTCTGATACAACACTATCGTCTCAATAGCGTTGTTCCCCTCTGCGGCTGTAACGGACGACTTCTGGGTATTAAACATACTGTTCATCAGCCGTTCACACTGCCGTGACGAGGCCTCCATATTCCCCTTCTCCTCTTTAAACATTGTAATTAGCTTGTCCGTGACGTCCTTCTGAAGTTTGTTCAGCTGTTCTTCGACGCTTTGGCGTAGAGCTTTTATGCTTTGCAGTGCGATTTCCTGATTCTGAACCATGCTTTGGATCTGCTCGTCAAAATCCTTCAACAATGACGTCATGGCATGTGCTCCTTTCTTCAATGCCATCTCCATTTCTTCTAGTTGTGAACCAGTTTTTAACTTTTGTAAATATTCCACTGCCGTTGTCACCTCTTCACAACGTCTGTGGTCTTTGATCATACATATGTTGCATCCAAGACGTTTGTCGTCTTCACAGTACCAAATCAATTTATCGTCGTGTTGGTCACATTTAGGGACTGACTTTTCCTGTTTTGTCGTCCTGCTATCGTACCCAGTAATATCTAAGATATCACATTCATTGTGCATAATGTCATGATGTTGTATCTTACAAGTATCACAGAATTTCACGCCCATAGACTTGCACCAGAATTTCGCTGGAATGGTCAGGCTACCTCTTGTCTGGCAGGGCTTGCAGTACAGTGGTTCAGACGATCGGTCCTTAAGTTGTATAAGCTCCTGGATCACAGCATTAATCGGGAACTGTTCTGCCCATTTGTCCTTAGATACCGTTTGATTGACGGTCTGGGTCATTCTCCTACAGACAGGACAGGGGAACGATGTTGCCAAGGCCATTTTTCCAGACAGTTCCTTGGTGATGTAGGTCCCGAGGCATTCCTGACAGAAAGAGTGGAGGCAGGGTAAGGACTTGGGTTGTCGAAGTCGCTCCAGACATATTGGACACTTCAGTAAGTGTTCGTCCAGTTCCGGAGAAGGGCCGCCTTCTGCCATAGTAACAGCTAGGGCAGATTAACACTGGCCTGAAAAGGAAAGAGTAACGATAATAAGCATATGTGTGAAATTCACAAATTCAATAGCTTGCTTATTATACTTAATCCTTTATCAAAATCTTAATGACTCGCCCTAAATATTTTGTATATACAGTTCTATCATTATGGTATAAATGTTAGCTTCACTTGAAGTTCACCATCCCATTTGTTTCAAGGATGGGAAAGGTTAATAGTCAAGTCGGAATGGTATGGAATGTGAGTAATTTTATCACATGTGACCTAATGATTGTGGTCTGTTTGCCTTTTAGCTATAATATGATAAATTCAAACTGTATTTAGCTGCGCCTGTTTAATCACACTATGGTTTTCATATTAATTATCCTTTCACTCTGCTGATGACATAACCATCTGTACATTTAAAAAGTACATATATTAAGGAAATTACGTTGCAAGGTTGTGAAAACTTTTGTTAAATTCATCTCTATTGTGATGAACAGTACAAACAATTAATTTCAGCTGAACGATTTTTCACAACATATTCGTTTATCAAAATTTGAGACAAAAGTTGCTAATGCGTTAGGGTTCCGTATGTGTTGCATCAGAGATGCTAAAGAGTAAGTACATAGTAAGAGGGGATCACTCTGATAACGGGGAAGGGTCGGGTGTCACTCTAATAAGGAGGAAGGGTTCTTGTGTTATTCTGATAACGAGGAGGTGGTCGGGTTTATTTTGGTAACGAGGAGGGGTCAGTGGTCATTCTTATAACGAGGAGGGTTCGAGTGTCATTCTGATAACGGGGAGGTAATCGGGTGTCATTCTGATAATGAGGAGGGGTGGGGTGTCATCCTGATAACTAGGAGGTGTCGGGTGTCATTCTAATAACAAGGAGGGGTAGGGTATCATTCTGATAACGTGGATGGGGTCGGGTGTCAATCTGATAACTAGGAGGGATCGGGTGTCATTCTGATAACAAGGAGAGGTTGGTTATTATCCTGATAACGATTAGGGGGTCATGTGTTATTCTGATAACGAGGAGGTGGTCGGTGGTCACGCTCATAACGAGAAGGGGTCGGGTGTCAATCTAATAACGAGGAGGGGTCGGGCGTCATTGTAGGCGGATTGGTAGAGTGGTTAACACTCTGGCCTTCCAAGCAGGCGGCCGGGGTTCGATCCCCGAAGTCGCCGTACGCATAGAATATTAGAGAAAGTGTTTTTTCTCCTGCCCACACAACACCAACAACCCAGGTGGAGTATAAAATGGTCTGGGTTGGGTGTTGCGGTATCTGTGCTGTATCATTCAAGTGAGGTGGCACTATAAATGATACCGTTGGAAGCACGGCTCCACTACAAACAGAACACAACACAATACATCTCCAGCACACACGCAGGCATACACACATAGGGAGATATTAGGTGGCATAGGACTAGTAGTTAGCGCCTGATAAGGAAGCTCCTGCGAATTCCTCAATATTGTATTGATTAATATATATGCTTATTGTATTGACTGTAAAACATTGTATTTCTATGTACTGTAAAGCGCTTTAGAGTGGCTTATGTTAGGGCGCCATATCGAATGTTGTATATTATTATTATTATTGTTCTGATAACGAGGAGGGATCGAGTATTAGTCTGATAAAGAGGAGGGGGTCGGTGGTCACTCTCATAACGAGAAGGGTTTATGTGTGATTCTGATAACGGGGAGGTGTTCGGATATATTTAGATAACGAGGAGGGGTTGGGTGTCATTCTGATAACAAGGAGGAGGCGGGTATCATTCTGTTAACGAGGAGGGATCGGGTATAATTCTGATAACGCGGAGGGGTCGGGTGTCATTTTAATAACGAGGAGGAATCGGGTATAATTCTGATAACGAGGAGGTGTCGGGTGTCATTCTGCACAAGCATTTTAAAACTTTGTACTGTGTTAGTTGTGAAGCTGTAAATGTAAATGAAAGTGTGTTATTATATTTCTTAAGACATTTTTTTCTTAGTCATAATGTTTTTTATCATTTCTGAATCTCTTTTGATAAGTGTAAATGAAAGTGTGTTATTATATTTCTTAAGACATTTTTTTCTTAGTCATTATGTTTTTTATCATTTCTGAATCTCCTTTGATAAGTGAACAATATTTTACTTTTTTTGGTGGGAAAAAGGACACTTCTTTTATCTGAGAGGACCATAAACTATTTTGTGTAAGGGATATATTTTTCAAACGCATCCCACTCAATAACCATGTATACAATTGCTGGACATAAAGAGCCACACACAATCATGCTATCAGATTTAACATCACGGTCTCGCCACACCAAACGGGACTTAGTTTCAGTGTTACAACATGGAAACTGTTGAGATTCCCTAACCTATCAATTACAAGTTAGAAGAAACAATCAAAGTCTGATAATTATGTACACACTTATTCACCATACTACACCCAATTATCTTTATAAAATTATAGAACCATTCGTTAATTCACATAAAGATGATACTTTTGATTTAAAAGATTAAAGAAACTTCAAAATACCATTTACTAGAACAATTATCTTTCAAAATAAATTTCTATTTTTATTTTGCACAATGAATAAATGGAATTTGTTAAATAAGTAACTGACAAAATAACTTTCCACTTCGAGTTTGAAAAGTAAATTAAATAAGATGTCATCCTCCTACGATGATAATGTAGTTAATAGGTTTAAATAGTGTCAGCCTCGTACGCTTAACGTTATATAATGTCAGCTAAGAAATGGGGTACGTCATCTTAATTATAATGAGCATTGTGATCACTTTATTGGTAAATCTCAATGTACTTGTGGATATCATTCTAAGGATGTTCTTCATTACTTCTTTTCTTGTTCTCTCTTCAGTTATCTATGTAATTTATACTTTTAATATATAATATAATTGGCTATATTTTAGCTAACATGTTAACTAAAAGGTAATTATCTACTTTCCAATAATTACAATCGATCCATGTTAGATAATGTATCTTCCAAATATCCTTAGTACTAAAAGACTGTATAGTAATTATTGTTAGCATTTGCCAATGTGGGCCTACACAGGCTTTATGTACATGTTATAACCGTTTTAATTACACCAATGTCTTTATAACCATGAGGGCCTACACAGGATTTATGTACATGTTATAACCGTTTTTGATTACACCTGTCTTTATAACCATGTGGACCTACACAGGCTTTATGTACATGTTATAACCTTTTTTAATTAAACCCTAACCCTAACCCTTTATACCCATGTTAATAACGAAATCATTAACAAAGCATGATATTAACGTGGTACTTTCAGAGATTTTATTTATTGATTAAATATTAAGATAATTGTTCGAAATCATTATTCGAAACAAATAACACACCATTGACAAATATTTACAAGACGCGGACACATTCTACCAACTGAAATACTGACATTGAAGGCTGAAATCAGCCAGAACCTCATTATTAACGCACAAGATGATTATGCCAGGAATGTATGGTCGTAAGGAAAGAACAGAGCTTTACTATAGTCATCCCATAGACAATCACCATGATAACACGCTAGGTCTATGGGACAAAATTTAATCAAAGAGCAAGTTGTCTAAGTTATTAACATTTATTCATTATCAAATATAGTTGTACGGGACTAAAAGGTTCCGTACAATTACTTTTGTTCCTTTATTTTAACACGTGTTTTCTTAATTTCATGTAATCAGGTACTAAATATGCAAATAACATTTTCTATCAAACACCCAGTAGGTTTGTTATATACAAACTCTGCAATTTTAATCAGTCCTCAACATGTATAATCTCTATATTCACATTATCAACACCAACATAAGCATGATACGAGGATCAAAGTGTAACATCTGTATAAATCGTATCAGGCTCGCTGGGTCTAATTCGAATAGAAAAAGAACCACACACTTACTATGTGTGTGTGTCAGTTATTGGTAACACTATAAGGTCTATAAAAGATCAAAATTACAATTGTGTTTGAGTAAAATTTCTAAATTGTCAGACTTAAACTCTGAGAATATTATTTCGTATAATTCAGGTTTGTCGACAGTGTAGTACATATAAATCTGTAATATACTGATATAACTAAAAAAAAGTTATACCAACTTTCGGTTTGTGTATATCTAGTATGGCGAAGGTTTGTCGACAGTGTAGTACATATAAATTTGTAAAATACCGATATAACTACACAACGTTTGTTTAATTTACAGAAGTGAACGGATCTATACCACCTTAGTTCATTACACTCACCTTATGAACAAACAATATCTCCACAGAAAGGACAGACTAGACTTCTATCTGCAGGTCACTTGTTCACACCTTGGACCCGTCCCCAAAACCGCAAGTAAATAAGGTAGATTATAATTCCCGAACGAAAACATTATGACAGTGTCCGGATTCTGAAAGAGTATTTGTTAATTATTTGTTTTGATGATAAATATCACTGTCACAAAAATAAATGATCGATTAGGTATTAAGTAATCACGCTTTTCTGCGTATACTAAAATGGTTCTACATTTGGAGGTATGATACCTTTACAATGAAGTCATCTGCTTCGTGTAATACTATTTAAAAAAAGTTTTTGAATGTATTTCTCGTAAATGGGTTTCACAACAAAATTACATTTATGTTTAACATAAATATAAGAATAAGACAACCAGATTATACATTTCATTTCTAATATTCTACATGTATTAATCATTATCCATTTTAGTCTTCCTTTTATTGCTATTTCTCTCCCCGTCGAAAATTAACGAAAGTAAATACAACAGAACTTAGTCAAGAATACAACGTGTACAAGCAAGTATAAGGACATCTATATATCATGGCGAAAGTAATCAACAAATCGGCGATATCTGTTTGGGTACAAAATCGGAAAATATTTTGATTAAAATAGGAAGATCGTTTGTTTAAAAAATTCAGCATTTAAATGAGGCGCGAAGTCACTTCAATAGAACCAATCCAACAAATTAGGGAATAGAGGAGGTAGTGGAGGATTGAGAGGAGATGGGGGAATGCGATTGTTTTGTCATTTTTAAGGTAAATTCGGTAAAATATTAATAAATAATATTAACAAAAGGCGAGACAATTTATGATCAATTAAAAGTGATCATTTTGATTGATCAACATGAAACAAAATTGATAGGAAAATACGATATATTCATGGGGTGCGTGCACAAAATGATTGTATGGGTTTTATGTCGGGGTTATCAAAATAAATTATCCTCTTAATCCGTTGGAATAAACTGTCCTAGACAAATATCTACAAGCTTTCATAGTAATAGATCACTTGAAATAAAAATATCCGTCATTTTTACATCTTCGTAAATTTGGGCCTCAAAGTAACGGCTTTTGCTCCAAATCGATGTATATTACATTACTTATCAGTGTTACATACACTAAACCCAATTTTAAAATACACATGTATAAAATAAATCAATTATTAGTTTTTAATATAACAAACCTACTGATTGTTTTATGGATCTGTCCCTCGCCAAGAAAATGTTATTTGCATAGTCAGTACTTGATTACAAGAAATTAAGAAAAATGTAGTAAAATAAATGAACAAAAGTAATTGTTTCCCCAATCTTCTCTCCATCCCTATCGATTCGTCTACGCTATGTTTTGTAGGGATCGCTCATAATCCGGACGTTTATCTCTCCTTTTCTGTTCGTTATCTATAATCTACCTTACACATTTCCTTTATCAGAGACGGGTCCAAGGTGTAAACAAGTGTCCTGCCGATAGAAGTTCAGTCTGTCCTTTCCGTGTCGATATTGGAAGTTCCCAAGGTGAGAGTAAGGAACTGAGGTGGTTTTGTTACGTACACATCTGTAAATTACACAAACACTGTTTAGTTATATCTGTATATTACTGTTTCACATGTACTACACTGTCGACAACACTTTGCTATACGTGATAGTGTTGGTGGGTTAATATCGTGAAGTACGCATACACTAAGCCGTGATTGTCAAGCGTGATCCGCCCCATTATTTTGTCACCGGGTACAAAAGATATTCAGACCATTATTACTGGCGATCAGTACAGATAATTGCGACCTCTAGATCTGTGCTGTTTTAAAGGAACTTCACCACCAAGACACAACTTTAATCAATGATTTAACGTTATGTTGGATTACATATAGCACAGTCATATAAATCACACACATGGACATGTATATACAATTCATCGACACACTAGATTATCAGAGACGATCGACTGGAAGTTCAAACTTTCTCTTTATAATGATAGACTATAGGAAGGAGAGGAGAGGCGGGAATGTATTAGGGGGTGGGGGNGGGGGGGTCATCCATAAGTTCATACACAAGTCCACGCAAATAAGATCCAAAGAATAGGACCAATCCCCTGACCCTATCCTGATATCATTACATATGTGTATCCAAATCTACCGAATCTGGTAGCATGATTGTGTTCGTCTCAGTATGCCTAGCATTTGTATATATAATCATGAGTAGGGAATCTCAATTGTTTTTTAAGTTATAACACAGGGACTATAACATTCAAGATATTTTAAGTTTCAAAAACTAACGGATTAGGCAACAGGCATAGCCTATATATGTTTTCTCCCACTCCGGTACAGCATGAAATACATGTTCATATACATATTATTACACAGGGGCTAGGATGGACGGGTGATATCGATTGACAAGTTAAGAGTATTAATAATTTGAGGACTTGTGTGTCGAATTGTTAAATTAACTTCGGTTTGAAAAACTGTAAGTGGATTGATAAGTCAAGATATGAAGAGGTGTAACAATAACATACATCCACATTAACACTTCCATTATAGATAATATGTGTTATCAGTCTAACCCTCACTCACAATGTTAAATACACATAATATAGCTACACACCACACATACACAAGTTTATACACCCACTGATACACCTCTTGCACAACTCTTAATAGACAAACATAATAACACACAACTATAATTGATATTAGCCTCTTAAATACAAACACTACTGGCAGTAAAACTAATCGTTATCTGACTGCCACCCGACCTCTTCCTCGTTATCAGAAAGTACACCCGACCCCCTACTCGTAATCAGAATGACACCCAACCCCTCCTCATTATCAAAATGACACCCGAACCCTCCTCCTAATCAGAATGACACACCGTCCCTCTTTGTTATCAGAATGGCACCCGACCCCCTCCTCATTATCAGAATGACACCCGACCTCTTCTTGTTATCAGAATGACGCCCGACCCCACCTCGTTATCAGAATTACGCCCTACCCTTCCTCGTTATCAGAATGACGTCCGACCCCGTCTCGTTTTCAGAATGACGCCCGACCCCTCCTCGTTTTTAGAATGACGTCCGACCCCTCATCGTTATAAGAATGACACCAACACATTTACACACAAAGCAACAAGCATACATTACATTGATTACAATTCCCTTCACAACGGACACCTCTTTACACGAGACGAATTATATACTGTACACATATACACATACACACTCACAAGGGGAGGGTGGGGGGGGGGATTGCAAACTTTTCTTTATAGTATAATGATAATTGTTCACATTATTTTATAAGAGAAGTCATTTTTCTACTTTATTAAGAAAGACTATATTACTTTTTGCAGTTTTTATGCTTAATTATCAATATCTGATGAGATTTAAGTTAAAAAAATGTGATTCTTTAAACTTGTTATATTAAGTACTATTTCTAGGCATTTCATTTTAAAAATGTATTGTTTAATCAATAATAGGATAAGATTATCCACTATCAAATCAGCATCCTTTGAACTGAATTGCCCAAATATACATTCCTGTTTGTCAAAATTCAAATCAATATTACTGGTTGCAAGCAATTGTTTTAGTTCTCTCAAAATTTCACATACTTTACCACAATCCCAAAATAGATGTTCAATTGTTTCTGGACATCTTTTACAAAAAGTACAAGTTGAATTTTGTTTTATTCCCATTTTTTGTAGGAGTGTGTTTGTAGTTAAGATTATATGGTTGATTCGGTATTGAAGCCATCTTAATTTAGTACTTTCAGTAGTTTTAAAAGGACATGCATAAATCTTTATCCATAATTTGTCCTGAATGTTAAAAACCGTAGACCATTTCCTTTGTGACGTGGGTTTTGTATCATTTCGGCATAAAACAGCACAAATATCCTCTGCCCCTTTAGTCCTCCTTAATATGATATTAAGATTTAAAGGTATATTAGGTAAACAAATACTCTTTTCTAAAGCAAAGATTTCTTGTTTACTATTTATAAACTGTTTTATAGCACTAATTATACTATGAAAAGTTAAAAAATTGGACCTTATATCATATCTATGTTGAAATTCTACAAAATTATAAAAAGAACCATCTTCTTTAATTACATCATATATAAAAAGCACTCCTTTTCTATACCACTCTTTACAGAAAACAGTCTTATTGTTTGTTTGGATATTGTGATTATACCACAAAGGATTTTCACATATTTTTTCACTATATAAATTGGACGACACTATTGTTTGATACCATGCTTCTAAAACGTGTTTCCAAAATTTATTTTTACATTCTTCACATGTAATTTTTAATTTATGAATTCCACAATTAGCTAAAGAGAACTTATCCATGTAGTTTTCAGGAATGAAAGTCCAACTAGCATCTTCTTTAAAGATCCTCCGTACCCACGTTGCCTTTGGTGCTGTTATGAAAGACTTTAAATGAATCATTTTCAAACCACCATGTTCGTATGACTTAATTATAACATCACGTTTAACTTTATCAGTTTTTCCGCACCACAAAAATTTGTATAATATGTTATTTACTTTTTTTATATAAGAGTCATGTGGGTTTGGAAGAGCTATAAAAAGATGATTAAATTGTGAAATTAGCAATGTTTTAATAATGGTTATCTTACCTATTGGAGTGAGATTTCTTCTATTCCACGAACTTATGAGAGATTTAAGTTTAACAAGTTTCTTATCAATGTTTAATTTAACTACTCTAGTAAACCAACATCATATTCAATGCCTAGCAAATTAAAACGTGTACTTCCCCACAAAAAAATGTGCTCTGTTGTATATTTATTATTACTATATTTTTCACTGCCTATCCAGATTACCTGGGTCTTGGTGAAATTCATTTTAAGACCTGAAATTCTGGCATAATAGTTAAGTTGTTGTAGCGTTACATTTAAAGATTTTTCTGAACCGTCAAGGATAACAGACGTATCATCAGCAAACTGTGATAAAAGAATTTCTTTGTTATTTACAACAATACCGCTGATGTCAGAATTATTTCTTAATAGAATCGATAAAATTTCAGCACATAAGATAAAAATATATGAAGAAATATGTTCCTTGTTATCAGAAAGTACACCCGACCTCCTCCTCGTAATCAGAATGACACCCGACCCCTTCCTATTGATCAGGATGATACCCGACCCCTCTTCGTTAATAAAATGACACCTTGTTATTGATATGATACAATGTACCGATCCCTCCTCGTCATCAGAATGAAACCCGACCCCTCCTCGTTATCAGAATGACACCTGACCCCCTCCTCATTATCAGAATGACACCCGAACCCCTCCTCATTATCAGAACGACACCCGACCCTTCGTCGTTACCAGAATGACAGCTGCTCTCTAATCGTCATCAGAATGACACCCGACCCCTCCTCGTTATCAGAATGACACCCGACCCCTTCCTTGTAATGAGAGTGACCCCGACCGCCTCCTCGTTACCAGAATGACACCCGACCCCTTCTTGTGATCAGCATGACACATGCTCTCTAATCGTCATCAGAATGACAACCGACCCCTCCTCGTTATCAGCATGACACCTGACCCCACCTTCCTTGTAATGAGAGTGACCCCCTCCCCATCCTCGTTATCAGAATGACACCTGACCCTTCGTCGTTATCAGAATGATACCCGACCCCTCCTAGTTATCAGAATGACACATGCTCTCTAATCGTCATCAGAATGACACCCGACCCCTCCTCGTTATCACCATGACACCTGACCGCTCCTTCCTTGTAATGAGAGTGACCCCCTCCCCATCCTCGTTATCAGAATGACACCTGATCCTTCGTCGTTATCAGAATGATACCCGAACCCCTCCTCGTTATCAGAACGACACCCGACCCTTCGTCGTTATCAGAATGACACCCGACCATTCGTCGTTATCAGAATGCACGACACCCGACACCTCCTTACTATCGGAATGACTACCGACCCCTTACTCGTTATGAGAGTGCCCCCCAACCGCCTCCTCGTTATCAGAATGACACATGACCCCTCCTCCCTATCAGAATGACACCTGACCTCTCCTCGTTATCAGAATGACACCCGACCCCTCCTCGCTATCAAAATAACACCGACCCCTCCTCGTAATCAGAATGACACCAGCCCCCTCCTCGTTATCAGCATTACACCCGACCCCCTCCTCGTTATCAGAATGACACCCGACCCCTCGTTATCATAGTGACCCCTTACCCCCTCCTCGTTATCAGAATGAAACCCGACCATACCGTTCTGACTTGATAATAACCTTTCTCATCCTTGAAACAAATGAGATGGCGAAGCTGACATTTATACCATAATGATAGAACTATAAATTTAAACACTTAGGGGGCGAGACATTAAAGCTTTGATAAATGATTAAGTATAATAAGCAAGCTATTGAATTTGTGAATTTGATCAAATCATTTTGTGTGAAACACATTAAATTATTATCGTTACTCTTTTCCTTTTCAGACCAGTGTTAATCTGCCCTAGCTGTTACGATGGCAGAAGGCAGCCCTTCTCCGGAACTGGACGTACACTTACTGGAGTGTCCAATATGTCTGGAGCGACTGCGACAACCCAAGTCCTTACCCTGTCGCCACTGCTTCTGTCAGGAATGCCTGGGGACCTACATCACCAAGGAACTGTCTGGAAAAATGGCGTCGGCAACATCATTCCCCTGTCCCGTCTGTAGGAGAATGACCCAGACCGTCAATCAAACGGAAGCTAAGGACAAATGGGCAGAACAGTTCCCGACTAATGCTGTGATCCAGGACCTAATCAAGCTTAAGGAACATTCGTCTGAACCACTGTACTGCAAGCCATGCCAGACAAGAGGTAACCTGACCAATCTAGCGAAATTCTGGTGTAAAATAATGAACTTGAATTTGTGCGAAACATGTAAGGTGCATTATCATGATGTCTTGCATAATGAATGTGATATCTTAGATATAACTGGGTACGATAGCAGGAAGACAAAACAGGAAAAAATAGTCCCTAAATGTGACCAACACGACGAGAAATTGATTTGGTACTGTGAAGACCACAAACGTCTTGGATGCAACATATGTATGATCAAAGACCACAGACGTTGTGATGAGGTGACAACGGTGATGGAATATTTACAGAAGTTAAAAGCCGGTTCACAACTAGAAGAGATGGAGCTTGCACTGAAGAAAGGAGTACAGGCTATGACGTCATTGGTGAAGGATTTTGACGAGCAGATCCAAACCATGGTTCAAAATCAGGAAATCGCACTGCAAAGCATCAAAGATCTGCGCCAAAGAGTCAAAGAACAGCTGAACAAACTTCAGAAAGACGTCACTGATAAGTTAATTACATTGTTTAAAGAGGAGAAGGGGAACATGGAGGCTTCGTCACGACAGTGTGAACGTCTGATGAACAGTATGGTTAATACCATGAAGTCGTCCGTTACAGCCGCAGAAGAAAACGACACTTTAGAGGCGATAGTGTTGTATCAGAGAGGACAGGCAGAAGTGGAGTCGTGTAAGGTCCTGGTCAAGAAAATGAACAAGTCCTTCACGTCCGTCAGAATTAACCATCATATTGTTCCCAGACTGGTAACCCTTGGCGATGAGGCGATGGGGAAGATCGTAATCGAGAGACAACGCCGATGTTTTCCTGGTGATCTTGAATACCTGTCCGTACCTTTGTCAGAGCGTCGTGTGAAAGAAATAGGAAAATTTAACGTAAAGACCCCGTCAGATAACAATGATTGTGCGATACGTGGAGTTGTGTACCTTCCAAATGAACAGATAGTACTTAGTGATAACAGAAACAACAAGCTGAAGTTGTTTACGGACAAAGGACAGTACCTAGACGAGTTGACTATTCAGGGACATCCCTGGGACCTGTGTCTGGTTAACAACAGTACCGTGGCTGTCGCTGTCTACACTCCTGATGGTGTCCGTGTCGTGAAAGTAGAGGACTCAAAACTCTCCCTGTCGTCCGAGATCAACATGCCTAATGTTAAACACTGTATTGGTATAACACATACAGACGGGAGGTTTGTCGTGGGTACAGGTAGCGGAGAGTTATACAGTGTGACACAGGACGGAGCGACTGAGTTGTTACATAGATATAAGAATGTTTGTTATTACCTCAAACAAGATTCAGTAACGGGAGACACACTCATCAGTATCTATAACAACACTACGGGGGACGTTACGGTGTCCAGACTGTCGGCTGACAAACGTCACACGGATGTGATGAAGGTCGGTGTCGTGAGTGGTGCTAGTGGAATAGATATGGACAGGGAGGGTAACATCTACGTGTGTGGAAGTGAATCACACAACGTCGTACAGATGTCTGGGGACGGGACACACGTCAGGGAACTACTGACATCATCAGATGAAATGAAATATCCTTGGGCAATAGCTGTTCGTGATGACACGTTTGTGGCCACTTCGTGTGATCCTTGGAAATCGAAATATGCAGACAATAATTGTATCCGTATCTTTCAACTCTTCTAAACATCGTATAGAGGAACACATTGATGGGTTGAACACGTGATGTGTTAATGAACCATATTTGTCACAGAAACATTGGTTTTTATCATATAGAAAATGTAACAGTGAAGGAGATACTTGTTGTTAAAAACTCTGATTACACAGGACAGAGTGAAATTACTAAATCTTATTCATTTTCATTTTATGTTTATTTCCAATTTTGGTAATGTGCTAATCAACGAAATACAGCAAATGGTATCACTCTGTGGTTCAGCCCAAATAGCATAATAGTATAGAGGCGGATGCTAAAATAAATGTCATAAACGTTATCATATTAACTTGCTGGGCGAGTAGACTAACAAGATACAGTGACAATTGCCATTAATTCTTGTTTTGAGATATGGACACGGTATTGTTTTGTTAATATTTTTCGCCACTTTTAATGTGATAAAGGATCCCCTCTGGCATTTTTGGAAATAGATTTGTGCTCTTGTCGACTTAATCCAAATATGCTTTTCTCTTCTCATTGTTTTTCTTTCTGTGACTGTTTGTTATTTTATTATTTGATTAGATCAGCGATTTTGTTTTTATTTGTCTTTTGTTCTTCAAGCAAATCTTTTGAGTCTGCGAGTTTGCAATTAAACTTCAGTTAATTACCGTCTTGCGGATCTGATGCCGACACCAGAGTGCTACCTCACTAACGTTTGTGGTCACTTGTTGTGATTATACAGATCAGGATAATTATATCCGGTACTTTCAACTCTACTAAATAAAGTACCGATGTTAACAATAGTTGGTTGATCACGTGACGTGTATATGAACTATAAAAATAACAAAAACGCTTAAAACTAATAATTATTTGAACTAAACATTTCTTTGCTTTCATTCCGTTGAATTTTTTTATTGTCCAGTTCCGCTACATAATTAAAGAGAAAAGAAGAACATTTAACATCGTCTCCTTTTATTGAGGTCACTAAATACACAAGCATGACTTCAACACTCATTAAATTGATATCTTCCACCTCATCATCACTGTAATCTTCACTATTTCCCTTGTCAAAATTAATATTTCTTTTTACTTCAGTACTTTTTTTCTGACGTTCGCTTGAGGAAGCTGTCAAACTCACTTGTGTAAAAAACACTTCATCATTATAATCTAAAGATTTACAGTTCAGAAATCATTTAAGAAGATCTTACAGTTCAGAAATATTTTTAAAAACATTCTATAATACTTTTCCAGATATGCACGTTTCGAGATGAACACCTGAAACTAAAAAAAATGTACCAACATGATCATATTTTTATCACCATTCCAATTACAACTGAACATTTCTTAAAATCAGAAAGGTGAAAACACCAAAATGCATTTATCTATGGTATGACTCACTTATTTGTCAAATTACTCTTCTATAACATCAACACATCAATTTTGATGACTGTTCGACATTAAGTATTTGAGTTATGGAGCTAAATCCGAAGTCTGTCAAAGATAGCATACAAATAGCCGGAACAACAAAGCAAACACTCCCCAAGCTACATTATATCAGTCATTGATTCTCCTGCAGGCTCTCAATCATTTTGAATTGGTCACTGGTTGTCACTAGGACATTCATTGGTTGTCACTAGGACTGTCACTGGTTGTCACTAGGACAGTGACTGGTTGTCAGAAGGACAGTCACTGGTTGTTACAAGGACAGTGACTGGTTGTCACTAGGACAGTGACTGGTTGTCACTAGGACTGTCACTGGCTGTCTCTAGAACAGTTACAGGTTGTCACTAGGACATTTACTGATTGCCACTAGGACTGTCACTTGTTGTCACTAGGACAGGTACTTGTTCTCGCTAGGAACGTCATTAAATGTCTCTAGGACTCACTGGTTTTCACTAGGAATGTCACTGGTTGTCGTTAGTACAGTCACACGTTGTCGCTAGTACAGTTACTGGTTGTCACTAGGACATTCACTGGTTGCCACTAGAACTATCACATATTATCGCTTAGACTGTCACTTGTTGTCCCCAGGACAGTTACTGTTTGTCACTAGGACTGTCACTGGTTGTGACTAGAACAGTGACTGGTTGTCACTAGGACTGTCACTGGCTGTCTCTAGAACAGTTACAGGTTGTCACTAGGACATTTACTGATTGCCACTAGGACTGTCACTTGTTGTCACTAGGACAGGTACTTGTTCTCGCTAGGAACGTCATTAAATGTCTCTAGGACTCACTGGTTTTCACTAGGAAAGTCACTGGTTGTCGCTAGTACAGTCACACGTTGTCGCTAGTACAGTTACTGGTTGTCACTAGGACATTCACTGGTTGCCACTAGAACTATCACATATTATCGCTTAGACTGTCACTTGTTGTCCCCAGGACAGTTACTGTTTGTCACTAGGACTGTCACTGGTTGTCACTAGAACAGTGACTGATTGTTGCTAGGACTGTCTCTGGTTGTCGCTAGGATAGTAACTGGTTATCATTAAGACAGTGACTGGTTATGACGAGGACAGTCACTTGTTGTCACTAAGATAGTTACTGTTAGTCGCTAGGACAGTCATTGGTTGTCATTAAGACAGTGACTGGTTGTGACGAGGACAGTCACTCGTCACTAAGATAGTTACTTTTTGTCGCTAGGACAGTCACTGGTTGTCACTAAGACTGTCACTGGTTGTCTCTAGGGCATTTACTGGTTATCACAAGGACAGTTACTGGTTGTCGTTAGGACTTTCATTAGTTTTCAGTAGGACTATCATTGGTTGTCACTAAGACTGTTACTGGTTGTATCTAGGGCATTTACTGGTTATCACAAGGACAGTTACTGGTTGGGGCTAGGACAGTTACTGATTGTCACTTGTTGTCACTATGATAGATACATGCAGAGTCATTGGTTGTCACTTGGACAGTTAATGGTTGTCAGTAGGACAGTGACTGGTTTTCACGAAGACAGTCCCTTGTTGTCACTAAGATAGTCACGTTGTCACTCGGACTGTCAATTGTTGTCGTTACGATATGACCCAATTGTAAGTAGGACAGTCACCGGGTGTAATTAGGACGGTCATTAGTTGTCGCTATGGGCAGTCACTATTTGTAAATAGGACAGTCAGTGGTTGTCACTAGTACAGGTATTGTTTGTCACTAAGACTGTCAGTTGTTGTCACTAGTCCTATCACTGGTTGTCACAAGGACTTATTGGTTGTCACTAGGACTGTCACTTGTTGTCACTAGGACATATACTAGTTGTCACTAACACTGCCACTAGTTGTCACTAGGACAGTCACTGGTTGTCACTTGGACAGTCACTGGTCGTAACTTTGACTGTCACTGGTTCTCGTTATGACCTTTGTTGGTTGTCACTAGGACAGTTACTGGTTGTCACTAGGTCAGACATTTGTTGACACTGAAACAGTCCCTGGACGTCATTTGGACAGTTAATGGTTGTTTCTAGGACTGTCACTAGTTGTCACTCGGACTTGACCCTGTCATTTTCCTAGTTTTTTATCGTCCTCATCTAACATGTACGAATGTATGTGTGTTGTTTGGAATTTCTATCATCATAGTTGTCATCAGTCACTTCCAGTTTTACAAATTTCAATAAATATTATCAATCATTTTCTAAATGGAATAATTGCTATATTGATAATATGCGAAGTTGTTACTATGTGATCAAGATCGTAATTGGTGACCCTGCTGGTCTACAGGTGAATAGATTTGTTCCCTCGAATCAAAGTCTTACAAAAATCATCTGATTATTAATTGTCTGTAAGGAATAAAAACTTGTTGTTATCACTGAATGAAATAGGAAAGTGAATGTCCTATATAAGATGTACGACTTTGTGAAGAGTGATTGGAGGCCGCAGTGGCGGATTGAGACGACAGGGCACCGAGTACTCCTGATGGTAGTTGTAGACCAGTAGAGGGCGCATTGTCTCTAAGATGTTAGAGAGCCGTCAGCGTCTAACATTGGTTCTTGTATAAAAGGATACAAAAATAAAGTATAAGTGATTATCCAAGACTTCTGGTTCTCAATTCACCTTTGTGTTGTGTTTCTTATGTCAACCAAGCTAAACTTTTAAAAGAGACACTGAAACCCTGAAAATGTGTGTGATGCTTAGCAATCTCCATTGGAATTGGAAAGGGGGAGGAGGGGAGTTCAGTTAGGCGTGAGAATGTATTCATAGACAATGTTAGAATATTCAATTGGGAGGAAATGTAGCAGTTTGTGGTACACATGTTAATATATATGCAAGGGACTTGATTAAGAAACTGTTAGAACATTTTTTTCTTTCTTTTTGCTCCTAAACGCGGAACGGCAACACTTTGATGAGAGTAGTGTTTGCTTCTGAAGATTTGAGTATTGGGAGACATCAGCTTGTATTTGTGAGCCCTATGGTGCCCTCAGCCATAAGAGATGACAGAGTAAAAGCAGCGTAGGGCTTTAATAGGCAACAGACAACTTATGAACAAATAGATATAACAAATAAAGGACCCAATTACAGGTTTAGTCTAATCTGTTTTATATCTGATGAGCATTATTGTCGCTTGTATGATGTGTTTACGTTATTTTCTACTGTACCTCATCTATAGATCACATCTTGTAATGTATTTTACAGAATGAGGAAGATACAAAATACGAATATTAAAAACTAACAAAAAACCGGGTCAAACTCGGGACCTATTTACTGCCAATTCTACACTTTATTGATGTTACTGTCAAGAATTGACAATGTACAGCATCAAAATGAGAGGCAAACTACTTTACTACTTTACAAGAGGAGTAAGTGTAATTCAGAACACAAACGTTTTGTTGCATACTCTTCTATATTGGAGGACACTTGATATGAGAAAATAGCTCTTGGGTGAAACTCCATGATCATGATTCTCACCTCTAGAGTGAAACCCTTTAACTTAAAAGATAATCTCTGATCTTGCTGAAAGCTGGAACATGGTGGTGATGCTGTGCTCCTCATTTGTTATCCTCAGTGTATGCCTGTTTACCCTTAGAACTGAATGCCACAATGTAAGTTGGTTGTGAGTGGGGTGTAAGTAGGCTATGAGTTGGATGTAAGTGGACTATGAGTGGTTGTAAGTTGGCTGTAAGTGAGTTGTAATAAGGCAGTGAGTTGGCTATGAGTGGGCTGTGATGAAAATTGATTGGGCTGTAAGTGGGCTAAGAGTTGGCAGTGTATGGGCTGTAATGAACTGTTAGTGGGCTGTAAGCTGGTTATGAGTGGGATTCGAGCGGGCCATACAAGGGATCAGAGTAGCTTGTGAGTTGGCTGTGAGTGGGCTATGAGTGGGATGTGAGCGATCTGTGATTGGACTATGATGAATTGTGAGTGGGCTGTCAGCGGGTTGTAAATTAGCTGTAAATGAGATGTGAGCGGGCTGTAAATAGGCTATGAATGGGTTGTGATTAGCTGTGAGTAGGATGCATGTAGGCTGTGAGTTGGCTATGATGAGCTGTAGGTTTGCTGCGAGAGGATTATGAGTGGACTGTGAGCGGTCTTGAATAGGCTGTAAGTTGGCTGTATTTGGACTGTGATGAGCTGTGGGTAGGATGTGAGTAGGCTGTACGTGGACTGTTAGATTCATGTGAGTAGGCTATGAGTGGACTGTGATGATCTGTGAGTTGGCTGTGGGTGGGCTGTAAGTTAGCTGTGAGTGAGATGTGATGAACAGTAAGTGGGCTATGAGTGGGCTGTAAGTTGGCTGAAAGTGAGTTGTAAGTTGACAGTGAGTGAGCTGTAAGTTTGCATGGTATGGGTTGTAATGAACTGAAAATGGTCTGTTAGATGGCTGTGAGTGGAATGTGAACGCGCTGGGAGTGGATTATGATGAGCTGGGATTGGGCTATCACGGGGCTGTAAGTGAGATTGGATTGGGCTGTAATTGGGCAATGAGTGAGTTGTG